AGGAGAGTCTCAGAGACCCCCCAGGCTGCACCAGGCCTCCCCCAGACTCCACCAGCAGCTCCTCACACTGGACACCTGCAAACACAGAGACACAAGGTGGACTGAGAATCACATGGAAGCACCAACAGGCACAGGCACAGGTCTCAGCGCTCCCCACTCCTGAGAACGACCTTGAGAAATGATCAGGAGGAAAACGCAGCTTGGCACCAAGTCCATGGTGGAGCCGCTGGGGTCCTGTCTCAGGTGCTTGGGCTCTGGGTGTCTCCCCAACATGCTGGGCAAGGGCCCCCTTTTATGAGTAGGAGGAGAGCCCCATTTGCATGGAGTCTGCATATAAGGTGAAGCTGGGACCCTGGGCTGCATGCCTGACCTTGTCATCCTAGGGGCGACCCCAGATGGGAAAGGACTCAAGGATGCTGGTCACAAGGGGTCCTGTCCTGACCCCCTCCCTCCCTCCTTTCCTGAGACTCGTCACCCTGACCCCGTTCCTTGGGGGGCAGCTTCCAGGATTGAGAGTCCTCCTTCATTGGGGTTTTGATGAGTACCCAGGGGTGCTCCCCAGCGGCCTGTGGATGGGGCTTCCTCTCGATCTCCTCCCCCCGCTGTGGGCCATGTCACATCTCTGGGGTTTGGGAATATGAATTTGCATTGGATGATGCTTTTATTTTGAGATGGAAAGATTCTCCTTGCTGTTGTCCTCTATCACATCTTTCACACACGAATTAGGAATTCGACAACGCCTGGTCCCTGCTGCCTGTCACTCCTTGAGCCAAATAGGCAGAGGGAGGGGTGAATCATATATGGGCATTCATTCCAATACTGCGGGCAATATGGGGGAGCAACAGGTCACCCACAAAAACCTGCTCTACAGCCCCCATAAGCCAGCTGCTTATACTGAGTGAAAGGATAGAAGATTATGTGGGAAGTAGCCAAAGGCTCTGCCAAAGGAGCAGGTGACAGGGAGCAGAGGGCTGGGACCTTCAAGGGCTGGCGGGCTGGTTCCTGCAGGAAAGTTGTTCATCTCCAGGATGATCTGCAGCTCCAAATGGGGAGGAGGGGCTGCACTTCCAGGTGAGCTCCCAGGCTAGAAGGTGCCTTCTCCAATCAGAATAAACAATCACGGAGAACAGACCAGGATGACTATGTCATACAATTCTAGCCGGTTCCCCACATTCCATTCCTGCCCCTATAAAAACTCAAACCTCTACATGTGATGAGGCAGGAGAGGCTGGGCTGGACACTGTGCCTGCAGCCTCCGTCTCTAATCTGCTGTCCCTGCCACAAGCACACAGCTGCCTCCCCAAACCACAGATTTCACTCAACTTCCTGCTGTTCTTGTGCAAAAGCCCTGTTTTCCCAGCCCCTCAAAGTGGGAGAATTTCCATCATTTACACATGGAGCCTGGCTGGTGGGGCTCAGTGGTTGGCGCATCAGTGCCCACACCAAAGGGTTTGAACTCTTTAGAACTAAGTCACCCTGCCCAGGTAGCAGGTTTTTAATAGTTGTGTGAACTTCCCACTCCACACGGAGAAAACACGTGTAAGAACGTATGATGTAAATGAAGAAAAGACAATATTTTAGTATAAGAAATGTCCTAACGTGTAGAGAATATATTATAAGATTTTTGGAGCCAAACTGATGAAAACGGTGGGGGAGCAAGACCTCAAATGCTCATGAGAATAACCATTTCCAGCTACATTTGTGCATTTGAAGTTAACGAGAGAAGGTGAGGAGTGACATAGAGGTGGGAGAGAGCAAGGCAGGAACTGGATGCCAGGATAGTTAACAGAATGTTCTCTCTCTCTCTCTCCTAATCTTTATTTTTGAAAGTATTACATAGTTCCCCCTGTTCTACACATTATCCTCTCCCCTCTGGCTCCCATTCCCTCCCCAGACCCTCACTACCCCATTGTCAGTTTCCATGGGTCAGGCATATATGCAAATAAGTTCACTGGTTGATCTCTTCCCACCCAACCTTCCCCACCCTCCACTCTGAGGTTCCATGGTCTGTTCA